AGCTCCTGGACTTGTAGGAGATGGCCAGCATCAGTATCAACAGCTTGCTAAGTCTTTGGTTACTTAGCATCATGCAGCAATAGCCACTTTAAAAGTCAATGATGTTCATGATCACCCCCTACCCTGTTGGTAAGCACTCAATCAGGTGCCTGTATCGACCAGTTCACAGATGGTCCAGCTTTGTCTCAAGCTGTGTGAGTTGCCCTGCAAAGGCAACTGATCCATGGACCAAAGTACTCCTAAGAAACCCAAACAGAGCATGGGGTCTAGGATAACCAAAACAGCAGTGTCCAATGGGACATCCAGTGCCTCCAATAGGAAGGTTTGGGTGATTTGTTCAGACTCTTCTCATGGAACTGTATTATCTCTGCACTTGCCCCTCTCCCCATTCCCAGAAGAGGCAGAAGTCAAGCCACTGGCTATGATAAAGGAATCAGAAGGCCTCTATTGAAGAGAGCAGATTTTCTTTCATATCTCTTGTGACATTTTCTTACCATTCTGTTGTGAATTCACTCTAAAAATGTAATGGAATTAAAGTGGAAATAAATGCAAGAATATCTAATACCAGGGAGGAAATATAACTGAGTGGAAACAGCTCAGCTTTAGCTTTAAGAGCCCAAGTCCTAAAGCTACATGCAACAATTTCCTTGGTTTCTTTGAGCTAACTACTCATCTGAGCTTGTGTTTTCTCATTTGAAAAATGGAAATAATACTGTCTTGAACCATTATGAAATTTAAATAGAATCATATACCCCCACACACACACACCCCAGACAATCTGTGGTCGTATTGGTTTTCCTCTATTGTCACTACTTTTATCTGAATTTAGGGAGCAAATATTAACTTTGCCTGCTGTGAATTGCCTTTAATGAAGACAAAGCCCTAAGGACCAACAAGGAAAGGGATGTCTTAGTGTTTCTGGACCCCCAATATTCAAATACTTGAGAGCAACTTTCTTTTTTTTTGTTTGTTTGTTTGTTTTTTGAGACAGGGTGTCTTCATGTAGTTGAAACTAACCTGGAACTCACTATGTAGCCCAGGCTGGTCTCGAACTCACAGTGATCCTTCTGCCTCAGCCTCCCAAGTGCTGGGATTACAGGCGTGAGTCACCATGCCTGGCTCGAGAGCAACTTTCTTCATAAGAGGTACATAAAAAAGGAGAGAAGTGGATAATCAGTTATCTATTTTTAATTCAGTTTCTAATCCAGACAATTCCTATATTAAAAATATGCATGAGATATCCTTATGTTCAGGATAATTTTGGAATCCGTACTAACTATTGTCACCTTGGTCTCATATTTTGAGTGAGACATGAAATGAGAGATTTTGTACAAAATGCTTGTTTTGTATGGTTTTCTTTTACTTGCCCTTTTACATGCTGAATAAGATTTGTGTTTCAACATTACCCTGTAAGTATTAGATGCATGATGTACCAGAAGGTAGAAGCTGAAAATATTTTCTTTGTCCTTGGCAATTTTACAATATAATGGGAAGTTCTTACCCAGCGTTTTCAAAACATACAAATAGGCATGAGGCAATAAGGTCTAAATTGTCCTTCAGTGCTTAATTCTTCCTGACATATATCTTTAATCCAGATTGCCATTTTCAAAATGGTACACTCTTCAAATGTAGTTTCCTAAGTATATTTTCAATGCGGTTGCAATAAAAGGTAAGAAGAAAATGTACAAAACAAAACAGAGAAGCCCAGGCAGAGGAAAGAAAGCTGTGCCTGTACCTATAACTCATTCACCACCATGTGGTTGGTGAAAACCACAGCTCTGAGGGGAGTCAAAGAGGAAGAGTGCTCTAATTTTGTCAGCGCTAACATGAAAGTGTCTCCTTCTGAGAAAAAGAGAGAGAAAAAGGAAGGAAGGAAAAGGGAAAGGGTAGCATTATTTTACTTGCTAATTTGTAAGTGTGTTTAAGGCTAAGGTCATCCTTCCCTTCACATGAAAACATGACCCAGAGCAGCATGAGCAAAAACCTTTGTTTGTAAAGAACTTTTTCAAGACACTGTTTTTCTCCTGGAAAATGTGGTTTATCTAATTGATGGCTGAGGAAAACCATCTTTTGAAACTTCCCACTCAGTGAGTCACCCTGGGGTGTGTCTCCTCGAAGCATCCTGTGAGATCCAGTAATCTGGAGTGGCAAGACCAGCACAGCCCCAATCTCCTACGTCAAGCGGAGCTATGGGCACTGGGAAACCAGAGAGAGCCTGACCTTCTAAACAGAGCGGTTAACAAAATTGCATGTTATGAAATGGGGTTGTGTCCTTTAAAGGATCATTGCCTATTTTTAAAAAAGAACCTGTCCAATTTGGCCTATCAACATGCAGTGTGTACAGTTGCTAACTGCTAGGTGACCACTCCAAAGGAAGAGCAAGTGCAGGTATTGTCTCCTTTGAGATTCATCCTGTTTTCCTCAAAGATCATTTCCATGTCATCACCTGTTGCAATAAGTGGAAGTGAAATGGAAAATTTGCACAAGGTTTTTCCCAAATGCTTTGTCTTGAGACACCAACGAAACGCCAGAAATACAGAGCCAGACAATGGGACAAAACCCTGGGGGAGAAGAATGTAAACATCAGCGTGAAAGTATTAGCATCACTGCCATTTCATCCTTCACAACAACAGGTCCATTCTGACAGCTAAGGATTTGGAGGCACCAGAACCATAGAGCTGAAGTGTATAACAGGATGACATCATGATGAACTCTAGGAAGAAAAGCAAATTAGGGTCTTGGGGCACATGGGATAGGTTATTTGATATATAACACTAGATACATTAAATTTCATTTGAGGCTCCTAGGTCTGTATGAAACTTTGCTTTGGGGAAATGGTAATGTATAGAGACTTACTTTCTCTTCTTTTACTTTCTTAACATGAATATCTTCATTTGTAGTCCCAGCACTCTGGAGGCTGAGGCAGGAAGATTGCAAGATCAAGTCCTGCCTAGGCAACTTAGCAAGACCTCTAAAAATAGAACAATAATAAAAAAAAAAAAAAAGCTGGAGCTGTATCTCAGTGTGAATGCCCTGGGTTCAATGCCAAGTACTACAAAACAAAAAAACAAAACAAAACAAAGCAAGAATACCCTAGTAATTAGGATAAAAATGTCACAGGCTCTGGGTCACACAAAGTTAGAGAAATATAGCAATTATATGTCAGATGAAAGAGATAGGACAATAAGATCTCAAAGTTTAAATGAATTACATAAGATCATTACAACTGGAATTCTGTAGGAAGCTTGTTGAGTTCTGCACACTGTGTGCCTCTGTCCACAAGAGGCAGAGTTTTTAGCATGTTAGAGTGTTTAGAGTGATTACTGCATTATACACTCTGGAGGATTCTCCAGGGGTTTAGGCCTGAGAAAACATATGTTTCTTGGTTTTTTGTGTTTTCCAGACTTCTCATTAGCAACAGTGTAATTTTCACTTTTCTGCAGTCCATGAAACATCACAATTATATTCCCAGATCTTGACAGCCAGCTCTGTGTCAGATGTGGAAAAGTTACAGTCACCAGTGAGACACTGAGAAGTTTCACTTCACTCATAGTTGGCTTCTGGAAATGAAGACAAAGAACCAGCTCTTTACTCTAATGCGGCAATGGATACAATTTCTTCAGAGCTGGCATAACTAAGGAATCCTTAACACTAGAACTGTCTATTAATATTTCCAGAAAACATTATCAATTTAGAGTCTCTGGTTTTTCTGAAAGCATGTCTTGTATACCACATTAGCAGACTCTATATAATTCTAGGTTATTAAAAAGAAATAGTTAATGATAATAATAGGTTCATTCAGAGAACTTATACATAAGGAAATGATGCATAAATAATAGCAATGATGCATAGTTATAAGAAAAATCACACAATTATCATATAAATGGCTGAAATTTGTCCTGAGTTATCCTTTCTGTTAGGTGTAACTCACAGAAAGCATTTGTTACAATCAAAATAATTAATTCCAAAGACACTGTTAAGATGAGCAGAGCTGGAAACGTGAAGTTAAACATACATGTCTGTTCTCCAAATGAACAAAATTATTTTTTATGGAGAACAGCATTCCTTACTAATTAATCTACTCTTTAATTATTAATAGAAAGGAAAGGTGTATTAGTAGGTCTCTCTCTTTCTCCCCTTTCCCCATTACTCAGGATAGAACCTGGAGTTTTTGCACTGAGCTATATCTGTACCATTTTAATGTTAAATTTGAAACAGGCTTCACTAAGTTGCTAAGTTACCCAGGCTGGCCTTGAACTTGTCATCCTCCTGCTTCAGCCTCCCAGAGTGCTGGGATTACAGACACATTCCACCATGCCTGGTAAGTGTTTACTTTCAACCATTAAGCTGGACAATTTTCAGAAGTCACGAAAGGTGTATTAGTAGGTCTCTCTCTTTCTCCCCCTTCCCCATTACTCAGGATTGAACCTGGAGTTTTTGCACTGAGCTATATCTGTACCATTTTAATGTTAAATTTGAAACAGGCTTCACTAAGTTGCTAAGTTACTCAGGCTGGCCTTGAACTTGTGATCCTCCTGCTTCAGCCTCCCAGAGTGCTGGGATTACAGACACATTCCACCATGCCTGGTAAGTGTTTACTTTCAACCATTAAGCTGGACAATTTTCAGAAGTCAATAGTGGTAGATTTTCTTCTGTTCCAAGTTGCACATTATTATGCTGTGCCTTTACTATGGACTTTGGTTAAAGGTCCATTGTACTAGCAGAACTATGGTCTGCATGTGTCTCCTAGGTCAGTGTCTCCTAGGTCAGTGGAATATGACCAGATGTCCTAATGAAGTATAAAGACACAAAAGTTAAGTCATTTCCCAAACATCAGAAATGGTGTCATCAATTTTAAGCCTGATGGAACAAGCTTGAGTGGGGTGAGGGGGCAATGGTAGACCTTCCTATATGTGCCATGAGAGAATAGAAGATGATTTCTAGCAAAGAGCTAGGAAGCTCCCAAGTTGCCCACTGCCTGAGACTCGTGCCTATCTTACCTCATCAGAACTGCTCCAGTGTTCTCTCCCATCTGGGTCTGTGTATCTCCCAGAAAGCACCAACATATTCCATGACAGTGGGTGGCTGGTGCCAGAACATGAGCCTGAGACCGTGCCTCCAAGTCTCTGTTAAATATAGTCAAGATAGGAAGAGCATAAGTAGTGGAAGCATAAATAAGAATCCCAGTTTTTCCTATCTTGGACATCATGGCTGATGACCATAATCCGGGGTAGTTATCATGATGCTGGGAGCACTACAGAGTAGAGAAAATTATACTGTTGCTAATGAGCAGCCAAGATAAAACCAAAGAACCAAAGAACATAAGTTTTCTCAGGCTTGAATCTCTGGAGACTTCTCCAGAGTCTATAATGTGGTGATCATTTTAAGCAACAGGAAAGATAAGAGAGTAAGAACAACAGTGAGCCCCACAGAGGAAGGAAGTGGAAATAGGAAGATATATTGAACTCTTAGAAGTGTCCGCAAGATTGCCACAGAATAGGGATTGGGCTACAAGTCTTGAAAAAAACTGATGCCCAGTTGTTGACATAAAGAGGAGATTCAATTTCAATGTTTGACACATAAAGGGCTGGGAAGTCACCCCTCCCATCCTCAAAAGTGAAAAAAGGAATCTGCATTAACTAAATAAAATCAATGACTTATTAGACTCATCAGAGAACTTAAGTCATAGGGCAAACTGTTACTGAAATCTGGAAAGATGTGTAAACACAAAGAGTGAGAGCTGAGATTCACTCACCAGGAACAGAAGTCACTGAAAGTGGATACTGATAGGAAAACAGAGATCACTTTTAATAAATTGCTGGAGGCTGAATATGGACTATCTTGAAAGCTAAAAATCCTGGAAGTCCAGTTGTAGTGGTTTTCTTCACACTTTCAGAGATTTTCACTTCAGAATCCCCAATAGTTTCTCATGAAAAAGACCGGAAAAGAAGACAAATATGATGTTAATAGATACAATTTTGTTTACAAAATCCAACAAATATTTATAATTAATACTTTAAAAAACTTTCAGCAAGATAAGAATAGAGGGAATATCCTTACCTTGGTAAAGATATGCACAAAAAAACCTATAGCTGACATCATAAATAATCATGAGGAAACGCATGTTTTCTTCCAATTGTGAAGAAGGCAGAAATATTTTCCCTCATCACTTCAATCTAATATTGTACTGAGCAGGGTGTGGTGATGCATGCCTGTAATCCAAGCACTGGGGAGGCTGAGGCAGGAAGATGAAGTTGAGGAATCATTCCAGGTTGTACAACAGAGACCAAAGTGAGGAAAATAGAAGAGATTCCAAGAGCAATCCATAAAGTCCAGTATCTGAATAACAAGTTTCAAAATTTAAAATGTACAAAGAAGACAAGAAGATGAAATTATCAAAGAAATTATATATATATGCCTTCCCATAGTCACATGACATGATTTTCCAGATAGAAAATGGCTTTCAAGTGCCTGTTGTGATAAATGAAAAATGACTCACAAGTAATACAGTAAGTAGATCCTTAAACCTTCTACTAAGATTTTAAAAAAGTAGATGTTCCACCATGCCTGGTAAGTGTTTACTTTCAACCATTAAGCTGGACAATTTTCAGAAGTCAGTAGTGGTAGATTTTCTTCAGTTACAAGTTGCACATTATTATGTGCCTTTACTATGGACTTTGGTTAAAGGTACATTATACTAGCAGAACTATGGTCTGCATGTGTCTCCTAGGTCAGTGTCTCCTAGGTCAGTGGAATATGACCAGATGTATCTTAATGAAGTCTCATGCAAAAGGCTGTAGACTTTGAACTTCTTGATAGCAATTATGAGAATAAGAAGATGGGAGATGAATGTCTGTAAAATTACCAACAAATAATCTTAACACAATTTTGAATACTGATATTTTAAAACATAAACATTTTGAGATATCTACCTTCCATACACTTCTTATTAGAAAGTGACCAGACAATAACCTCCACCACAACGAAGTAATGATTTAAGACAGAGGAAGATATAAGAATTCATGACACAGGGAATGCAACCCAGGAAAGAGACAAAAGAAACTTCGAGGAAATGAAGGAGACAGAGCCCCAGGACGTGATTGTCTTCTTCAATTTTGGTTCAATTCTCATTACACTTTTAATAGCTTCCATTTTTTGGAAAAGTTTGAGATGTATAGAGAAATTGACAGGAGAGTACAGAGAGTTTCATATATCCTGCATCGGTTTTCCGCTATTATTATCACCTTAGTATGGTATCTTGGACCCCTGCAGAGGATCCCAATCTTCTAACCTGTACTACAATGCAAGGCAGAAGAAAGGCTCACAGACAGAATCAAAGCGAAATGGAAAACTGGGATGGTCTGTGCTGAATAAGCAAAGACCCCCAAACAGAACTGCTGGTATTTAGTGGTGACACAATCATTGTTACGTTGGGGTGAGGGGGCTAATGTGGTTGCTGAAATAAGTTGCTGATGAAGGCGAAGCTTGTAAAAGAAAGGACAAAGCATTCTTGTGATAGGAACAGAATAGACCAGATAGGTTGTGGTTAATGATTAACCTGTCTGTACAGTTTAGGTTTTGTTTCTGAGAACAGAATTTGGGTGAGTCACTCTGGCCTCCGTGGCCGTATTATCTCATGCCAGGTCCTCAACAGTTTCACGAACCATTTCTCAGGCCTCTGCTGTGGCCATTGGTGGGGGGATAATTTCTAATCTGCGTGTCACTGCAGTGGCCCTATGATTTATGTCGGCATCAATCAGACTCACTTTTTTTGTTTGTTTGTTTTGTATCCGGGATCGAACTCAGGCCTTTCGTGCTTGTGAGGCAGGTGCCAGAACTACGGAATTAAATCTCCAGCCCCAGACTTAGTTTTTAAAACAAGCCAATTGTGAGCTTAACTCTAAAGCCCACAGTGCTTACAGCCTGCTTTGGATATAATCACCAGGGTGGTCTCCTGCAGTATGATACATTAGATACGATTAATGAACCTCTATTCTCACATAAATAAGTAGTGTCCATAGATGACTCAAATGTCCTTCTTTTATACCCAATGCTTCTTTTCTAGACTTTATGTGGAGTAGCCCACTATCCCTTTCTCCCTTTATTCATCACTAATTTCACTCCTCTTCTTGCATCTTGAATGCCTGCTCTTTCTACATTAACTGTTTCTTCCTCTCTTCTTCCGTTCTTATACCTCACTTGCCTTCGTTCCTCTCTTTTGTATTTTCCCCTGTTCTTCTCTCCTCTGTTTCTCCACATCCCCCTGACTCTCCTTTCTGCTCTCTCTGCCTCCCTCTCTCCCTCTCTTTCTCCCTCCCCCTTTCCCTCTTCCCTTTCCTGTCTCCCCTCTCCCCACTTCCTGTTTTTGTTCTCATCCCACTTCAGGAACTCAGGTCACTCCACGATTCTTGTCACAAACTGAACTAGAGGAGCACTGAATCAAATTTCTCCATAATGTCAACATTGAACTAACCATCATATTTTATTTGATTCTCATTCAACTTGGTTTGCCACGAGAATCATGGAAAAAAATCAAGTTAGTGAACTGAGGCATCTTTTTGGGGATAAAACCCAGGGCCTTCTCACTGACTTAATTCTCCAGCCTCTTTTTAAAATTTTGAGACAGGATCTCACTAAGTTTCTAAGTTGTCCTGGCCTGTCTTGAATCTAGGACCCTACTGCCTCAGCCTCCCAGAATACAGGGATTACAGGTTTGCACCACCAAGTCTGGCTGGGTTTGTAGTATTGTTTTTATTTCTCAAATTTCTTATTCTTTTCCTAAAACATATATACTACCTATATTTTTGTTTCACCAGTACAGTGTATTCTTATCCTTGAAGATATTATTTGAAATTTTTTCCCCTCAGGCACTCTGTTTTTGTCTATGTTCTCAATATTCCTTTCTCCTGTTTCTTGGTTTTCAGCTCCATTTCTCACATTAGCTATTTTGTAGTCCTACTTGGCAGTCTGTACCTATCCAGTTTTACTTCAGATTTTTACTACAAAGCTTTTAAAAGCTAAGTGTGCAAGGGTAGGACTTTCTAACTAGTGGATATCACTATAAGATGACAAAGCAGCATGTGACCAGTGTTTATGTATCTATGACAATAATATCACTGGGCATTTTTTGGTTTTATTGTCAGAGAGGAATCCTCCATGAGAAATAAATTCTTCAGTTGGTCTATATATAGTTTCTGAGCCTTGATAATAGATTCAGACACCTACTCACAGAGAGGACCTGAAAGTTTCACCATTTACAATGCTGACTTCAAAACAGAGCTCTTGTTTTCTATGTGTAAATTCACTTTTCTTTCCACTGTGTATGAGTTCTGCAGATCTAAACCCTATCTTGCCCATTCATTCCAATGAACAATATCCAATTTTCTTCTAGGTTGCAAGATCTGGCGTTAGCCTGGGTTTCACAGAAGAAGCTTAATACCACTGTGTAAATACAGGGTTTGGGGAGAAAAGTGTGTCAGTTAAAACACGCAAAAAAAGATGCGAGAATAAGAGGAAAGGATTAAAATATAAATTAGGCGACTAATAGCCAAAAGCATTCCCAGTATACCAACGTTAGGCACAACAAAGAATTCTTTAATATTTGTGTAATAATTCCAATGTTAACATGAAAAATATAATGATATGGAAGTTTTCTGTATATTTTATGAATCTAGTACCTATGATAGAAAAGTAACTAGATGTTAAAATAATAAATAATTTTCACATTAAAATTTATAGCAATAATGCAAGGACAATTTAAGATTAGAAAATTAGCAAGATGAGTCGGTTAATCAAGATCCTAAAAAGGCATCTGAGGAAACTTCCACGCCTTTTCAAAATTTCATAAGCTGGGAATAAAGAGATTTCTGCTCAACATTCTTACACCAATATTTGACATCATCCTCCTTACCAGTAAAATACTGAAATCATGCTCATTACAGATGGGAACAAGGTGTCAGTGCAGGGCATGGCCACAGCTTAATTTGATTTTAAAATTCAGAAGAGCTTATGAGTTACTTATCTCTGTAAAGGTGAAATTATAAAGCACCTCCAAGTGTCAACTTCTGATCTTGGAATACTCACCTATTTTTATTACAAGCACATTCTATGATCTCTCCAAGACTTTCTAAAAGTACAAGGTAAGGTAGTGCTCAGGCCTCTCAGGATTTAAGCGAAGTGTTTTTTTTATTGTTTTTTTGTTTTTTTACAGAGTAGAGTGGGGGATCTGCATGTATGGGTGTCTGAGAGCACAGCCACAGTAAGTCCAAAATAATAGTTGATTTACACACTCCTTCCAGGCACTCCTCAAGCCATACTGGGAGTGTGATTAGAGGAGTCCCCATGTAATAGAAAAGAAAGTATTCCTCTCTGGAAATGTGACTAGTTACAGATAATATCATGAGTATTTGGAAGAAGTATTAGGATTATTTTTGAGGACAATATGGAGAAATCCCAATACCTCTCCCATGGATTAAAATATAAGACATCAGCCAAATAGAGCAAGGGCATGAGAACCACTGTCAGTGCTGGAAAGAACATGACATCTCTCAGGAATTCTGGATTCAAGATTACCCATCATTTGTTATGTAATGTTGGATAAGTGTCTTAGTCACTTTTCTCATTGCTGAGACAAAAACACCTGACACCCAAAGTTAAAGGGGAAAAGGTTTAATTTGGTTTAATTTGTAGAGGTTTCAGTCCATAGTCTTGGCTCCAAGGCAGGGTGGCATGGCAGAGGGGCATTGCAGAGGAGAAACAGTTCATGGAAGGCAGAAGACAGCAAAAGTAAGCAAGCAAAGTAACAAACCAGAAAGGTGGCAAGAGCAGCTTCTTTTTGTCCTATTTTATATTGTATCTAGGCTGTCTGGCTTAGGGCAGGTGCC